ATTTTATCGGTGGTTTCTGAAAGTGGTCTACATCTCAGTGTTCATATGTTGGGTTTCCAGCGCATAATTAAAAAAGGTAATTACGAATTATTAGTTCGTTAGTATGGGGAGAAATAAAAAAAAACAGCCTGAGTACCTAAAGCTAGTGCGAGTGGTACGCGCTAGGTTCAATTCGCCACTAAAGTGTCTTTCATTTTCAAATTCTTGGCTCAAGTTATGTGGGACACCCTGTATATGCTATACGGTTAGTCATTTCACGCGGACTGTGGAAAATGTATCAGAACAGTTTCAAACGTCGTTTCTCCAAGTTACAAATAGCGCGACCTTCGAGACATCTCTTGGTGTTTTGAAAATGCCTTCCTTGCTCTAACAAAACGTTTTTAATATTGCTCTCCGAGTAGGAAAAGGAAGGAAAATAGAGGAAAAAGAACGGCAGGGAGGTTAACCAGCCTATAGGCAGCCGGTTTGCTACCCTGCGCATGGGAGAGGAATTAGCGCAATCTCCTGTGGCTTGTATAGGGAAGGGTATACAATGAGGCATAAAGACGTCTAGTGGTTACGATGCTCGGCTGCAGACCGCCCGATCGAATCCAGGCTGCGGCGGCCGCATTTCGAGGGGGGCGACTTGCTGACGGCCTAATTTAGGTGCACGTTAGAGAACCCCGAGCAGTCGAACCGTTCGCATACCTCCACTACGGCGACCTTCATCGTGATTATGGAACGCAAAATCCCACCAATTATTACTATATCAAAATGTGTACATGTGTACCACACTGCTGTAGTGTAAATACCATTTACATGACTGCGCCAGTCTTCAAGTAATATACGAGTCTGTTTTTTTTTTTGTTTTTCTTTAGCAACACCAGCGCGCGAACTTTTCATGATTACAAAGTGTGCCCTCCAAAATATGGGCGAGCGAGAAATATCGAAAAGAGAATAATAAGACAGACCAATAATTATCGCGCTAATGTGTTATTGCTTCTGTCTATTATCTTGTTCTCACGACGCCGATGCTCACGCATTAGCGCGAGAATTATTGTAGGCGTTTCACGTTAAGAAGAGGGGCACGGATTGCATTAGTTATACGTCTAGTTCACTTTACCAAAATGAGCTTCAGCTTGTTGACACGAGAGTGCGACCAGGGTTTACCGATTTAGGTGCACGCACGCGCAGATAGTTGTACTCTGGCGCCTTGTTCCTTCGAATAAACAGTTGAAGTTTAGCGCCCGACCTTTCTGCTCCCCCCTACTTTATTGTGTTTTCAAAATTTGTGCCACTATGTAACCCATCGGGCTTCTAAGGCATTGCGCATCCGTCAAGATGCGGCCGCCGCGGTTGGAATTCGCTCCTGCGACCTTCGCGACATCTGTCGAGTACCGTAGTCACTGGACTCATTGGCGGGCTATTCAATACCATAACAGAGACCTTGCTTCCTGACAAGCACGACTGGACGCAACATCTCCATGCATTTTGCGGCATGTTGAATAATAGCTGGCTAACAGAGAAAAAGAAATGGTCTTTGAAGGGCATAAATACGACGCTGAAGCCCCCCCGGGATCACGGCTCAGTGTCATCACGGGTGGGGACGACAAAGAGAAGGATGATCGGGGGGCAGGGGGGGGGGGGGGGTGCGGCAGCTACAAGCCCCTTTCTCACCCACTCCCCTGTGATGTTCTATATTTCACAAGAATAATCCGACAAAAGTACCAGACACGCACAACCGCAGTTTTTGCAAAAATAGACCAAGATGAAAGGGCGGTCGTAGCTATGGAGCCTTTTAAATCATTCATGCAAAATCGGGGCACGTTCGTAATTCTCGCACACTCCGACGACGGAAAACGCGTTCTGCCGCACGACACGGAATCGAACCGCGCCGCAGCACGACTCGACGCGAAAAGAGAGAGAAAGGCGAGCCCGCAGAATAACAGGCGGGAGACGCGAATAGTCGATTGCGCTCTACGGAAGCAGGTGGAAGAATAAAGGTGCGCGGAGGGGCGCAGCCAATCGATTCTTCTCGCCCCTGCTCTGCTCGGAATGAGCTGGCGACAAGATGAAGAACACCCGCCGCCGCCGCGGATCGGTGTGGCCGGGAGCGAAATTTGCATTCCGCGCGAGTCGCGCCTTGGCACGGCGCCGCACGCCTCCGAGATATACGACCGAAGGCGGCGACTAGCATAAAAACGCCGTTTCGAAACTCGCGCTATTGACACCGCGTTCGAAATGGCGCTCTACGAAACGTCGGTGGACGTAATCCAACAGACGCCTCCTAAAACTCGCGCGTCTCCCCCAAGTGGCGACTGAGCATTTCTTGTCGGTAAAGGAACAATCTTATAGGGTGTCTAAGACGAATTTCGAAGTAACGCGGCTAGAATAAAAACTTCCATGCGCTGCGGTTACTTCGCGTGTGCCAACAATCGAAACCACAGATCACAAATGAGGCGTTTGAGCTCAGAGGGATAGTGAAGCTCAGAGAGTCAGCATTATTCATATGCCATAAGTTAGTTTTAAAATAGCTTTTTTTTTTCTAATAGCACGATAGAAGTTGGTACGTTTATGTATATCATACAGGGGCAAGTATATCACACAGGGGCCTGGCGATTTCGCGGGAAATCACTCCATACATTTTGTTCATCTTTATCACTTCTGGATTTTGGTGCTTGTTACATATGCGGTAAGAAAAAAAAAACGTGAAAACCCCGATCAGATTGTTTAGCCCATTTTGTACCTATTTCTACAAATTGTTGGGGTAAATATGAAAAATTTGCCGCCACCCCGCCCTCCTTTCCAACGCAGAATATTTCACCGTGTCAATAAGCGACCAGTTATTATGTGTGCACATTCATCGTCGAGTACGACGCAAACAAGCGTGCACCTGCTGCAGAACACGCTACGTCCAAGCCGAGCGCTCTCACAACGCTCGCCCCCTTTCAGGCTCACGATGGCGAGCGGCGCAAGAAACAGGAGAGGTGAGAACACGCGAGAGAGGGGCAAGAGCATCCGCCATGCGCAGCTTCCAATCAGTCCACACACAAACCAACTGCCGAGTATGTAGTATCGAAGCGCCGAGGGGTGCACATGAGCCGACTCGGTTTCCCGGACGAGGCGTTCCCCATCGCCCCCTACCGAACAGTGTAAGTAAGTAAGTAAGTAAGTAGGTGCTCCTAATCCCTTTTGGCACAGGGCAGGCGCCAGCAGCGCCACAGGACAAAGTTGTGCGCTTCAACGCACATCCATACACACGCACACACACATCACCAGTCAGGCGCTTGCCGCGCCACCGTCAAAAAAAAAAAAAACATTTTGTGTTTTACACGCACTTCACGCGAACACGCACTCACACGTTTTCCACTTTACTGTTCGAAGAAAGAAAGGTCTGGTAGTAAATTGCCCGTTTCGCCACCAGGGGAAACGTGCCCTCGGCCAAGTCTATCCAGTGGCGTCGGCGTCGTTTAGATATTTTCTGTCGGCCCTTCGTTGCGCTGGACACTGTCGGGGTGTTTGTCCACCTGCCAGCACAGTCTGTCCCAGAGTTTTAGACGTCGCTTGGCACTCTCGGTGTGTTCGACTCGGGTGTCGACGGGATCATCTGGGAGACCCAGATATTCCGCCAGGTTTATCTTGGGTAGGTCCCTCGCTCCGAGTCGCGGGCAATCCATCAGGATATGTTGGATGGTTTCTTCCGTGGCCCCGCATAGGCGGCACGACGGGTCCGTGTCGAACAGTTCCCAATGCCGCTTCCGCGTGGGCAGTGACCCCGTCCTGGCTTGGAACAGGAGGGCGCTTTCCCGGTCGCCCCTGTAAAATGGCTCACGGTCTGGAGCCTGCTTGTATTCGAGGTATAACTGTAGGCTCCTTTTCTTTGCCGCCGACGTGCGCCACATCTCTGTGCTGGCTTCGGTTATAGTGTTTTTTGTTATTATACGCCATTCTCGTTCCGATTTTGCTTCTTCCAGTTTTGTGTTATGGCCGAATTTATTTTCCAGAGAAGCCAGTCGTTTCATCCACTGTGTTTTTATGCCCCTGTATCGGAGGTGTAGGTATATGCGCTGGCTGTAATTTGTTTCTGGTAGAAACTTTAGCCGGCCCGCATATTGTATTTTGACAGTGACAGAAGAGCGCGAGAGGTGGCGCCACGCTCGAAACCAACAGGGCGAGTCGGCTGCTGCCGCCTCACCGCACGCGGCGGCAACGGCAGCGCGGCTCATCCGAGCGTGACTAATGTCCGCCTCGGGGGTAGGCAGCAGCGCGCGGCTCGGTGGACAGCCTCGCTGAACTCCCCGCCAGAAAACAATAAACAAACCGCCACTCTCGCTGGGCTACCGCGGCGCTGTTATTTGAAATGCGGCAACACGCAAGCACAGCGCCTGACTACAATGATCAAGGAAGTGGGGCCTGGTAGTCAAAAAGCATAGCCAACTGTGTGCGCGCGCTCTATTACGAACATCGATGTGGATCTTGCAGTAAAGCCCGTCCGCTTTAGTTTGCGCGCGCCTCATTCGTCGATCTGCATTGCTCTATGTAGAATAGACAGAGCACCATAACATTTCGGCGACGAGACTACCACAGAATTACTCACGTATATCGCACTTCTGAAACACGCAATTTTCTTTTAAAGACATGACGGCGCGTACCACTGCGTGATGTGCAGTTTTACTAGAAAAGGCTCTGCGCTCATTGATTAAGTCAATACATTGACCGCGGATTTCGCTGCCAGAGGTGGCGATCGGTGTGTGAACCCTACGTGATGTTCTTCGAGGGCGTGGTGGCGACCTTTTTTTTCGGCGGCGATTTACGGATTGACGTCGGTGGCGCCACGACGGGTAAAGTTAGCCGCGCGCGCTGAAGACGGCGGAAGCAGGGACATCATAGCCGAAGCTCGCCTTGCCGGCGGCGGCTATCACGAGGGGGGGGGGGGGGGGGGGGGAGCGGGTCAGACTCAGAGAGGGGAGGGCGTTTTTAATGAGCGCCGCCGCTAAGAAGAGCAATTTGCGGCCACTCACCGGATGCCTATTGGGGAACATTGCGGATCGATGCAGCCGCCAAAGACGGCCGTCGGGGGGCGCCGCCTTCAGCTGGCTGTTGTCCACGCCGGCGCGGAAGACGCACCGGGCTCTTCAGGCGCCCGCCATGGAGTCAAAATCCCGCACGATCCAAGGTATCCGGCTTTCTAGCGAGCACGGCACAACGCGACCCAGGTGTGGAGTCTCGCAAAACACAATACAAGGCAGCGACGCTGCGAGCAATGGCGGCGAGCAGCGACAGCAGCGGGCGAGCAGGCGCCTCAGCGGTCGACGAAAGAGCGCGCTGTTTCCTCGGTGGGCCGCGGTGTGGCGCAGCGGCGCAACAATCCACAAGCAGAGAAGCGCGATGGGGAGGAGGGTGTGACACCCTCCCGGCGGGGCTCAACCCGACGACCACCGGCAAATCGGAACACCAAATATGGCTCACAGTATGATTGCCCTTATCAACAAACATGACCGGTCGCCAGCGCCACTGTCTCCCCTGGCGGCCACCGAGAGCTCGCGGGGCGGGTTGTGGCAAGCACGTGGGGCGCCCGCCTCCGCAAAATGCGCGCCAATCGTCGCGCCGCTCGGCGCCTCCGCTGACAGCCGCGCGTCAGGAGCGCGTGACCGGCGCGCGGCGCCCCTGATCTGTAAATACAACCGCGAGAGATAACCGGCCCGAGCAGTTTTCCCCGCTGCAAGATTTCCGGCCCTTCGAACTTCGTCGTCTTTCGCTCCTGTCTGCCTCAAAAGAAGAAGCGTCGACCGCGCGCCGTTCTCCACTATAAACAAGAATGCGCCCTCCTCCTCTCTCACTGCGTCGCGTCTCCTCCTCCGCGCTCTGCCGCATGGGCTTAATTTAAATAAACTCTCCCGCGCTCCGCGAGCCTTGTAAACCCACTTAGGTGGTGATACATTGTGGTGGCGCTGGGAGCGCACTAATTGCGCGCCGCCGCCGGCATAATGGAGAGTAATTGACGGACTAGGCGAGCGCGCACTCTTCATAACTCTGGCTTCGCCTCTGCGTCGTCTGGCGGCTTCGTTCACCAGCAGAGTGGTGACGTGTCCCACTCTCTGGTGATGCGCCGCCTCCGCGCGGTTCAGCGCGAAAGACAATTAGACAAGTTCTCACCGAATTGCCTTTCTCTGAACACCGTCGCTGTTCACAACCCGCCTCTTTCGAGACACTCTGCAAGCTTGGGGAGGGTCGCGAACCACAACTTTTATACAATTAATGGTGTTTACTCGAGCAAGGCAGTAGGGCGTTGTACATGTCCCAAAATGGAGAGTATCGAGCCCGATTGCTATCGATTCGCCACTCTTACGAATAGCGTAAGAGTAGTGTAATTTCGACCTGGCATTTACCTGAACTTCAAATGCAGGTCGAAAAAAAAATGCAGCAGCGGTGAGCACTGAACGTACGCCTTATAGTTATGCACTAAGCATTGCCCTCGATCCATTAATGCAGTAATGCTGAACTGAAGTTCGCGATTTTATGCAGAGATTTTCACAGTAATTGTATCAAACCTCTTCCATATACCATTGGGCAGTGGTTCTCAAGTGTGGGTCCACGAATTCATTTTGAGGTGTCCGTGAAACCCATCCTCGAAAACAAAAGAAAGGGGCACACCACATCCGCTCTTTCACCCAAACACAGCAGCTCCTTCTGGAATTTCGTATGCTTCACAGCATAACCTTTTTACATTGCGGCGGAGCTGACCTATCTTCCCTTTCTCCATCAGATAGCTTTTAAGGCTTTTGTTGTAGTTTTCTTACATTATATACTCATGTTCACGCTTTCATACTTTTCCTAGCCTTGCACATCTACATAGCAAACGTAGCTCGAAACAGGTTGAATGTGGCTGCAGACCACACAACTTATGAGGCGCCGCTGGTAACGAATTGGCGTGGCACTTTGCCTCAGTGACCATTCTTTGCCAGGGAGAAATGAAGGCACCTATTTCACTCTTAGCGTTGGCTGAATTTCTGAACCCCACCACCCTTTGTTTCTCACTCCAATGGGTCCCTTGTCGCTCTCACCTGTACAAAAGAGGTCCTCAAACATCAATGGCTGAGAACCACTGCTGTATAGTATTGATCTGAGAGACTGAACCCCAGTGGCGCATCCAGGGGGCGGCACACCGAGCACGTGTCACCTCAACCCCCCCCCCCCCCGACATTTTACAGCGAAAGCTGTAAGAGATCACAACTCGGGTCACGCGCAGTTGTCCGCTGCTACCGCCACCGCCGGTGTTCATAACCACATCACGCGTAATTAGAAAAAAAAAATCACAGCATATGCACGGAGTGAATGACGATGAGTGGGGCGAAGCGTCCGTCAGCCCGTTCATGCTTCCGTCCGTCCGCGCGACCATCCGTGCGTCCACCCATCACTCTGTCTGTTAGTCTGTTAGTGCGTCTATCCGTCCGCCAGTTTGTCTGTCCCTCCGTCCGTGAGTCCATCTACTGAACACTCTAAGTACCGCTCTCTCCCATCTTGCATCCCCTGTGGCACATACCCTACTACTACATACATACAAGGGATGGACAGACCCACGCCTTAAGGAGCTTCGCCCCTAAAAGAAACTAGCACCAAAGACTCAGTGGGGCTCGAAACCCGGCTCTGCTGGGTGCCAGCACAGTATTTTACCGCTGAGCCATGCCGGTGCTTGTGACTTGTTGGCAAACTTGCCTTAGGCAGGCTTGATGCCGGGAAAGAAATCGCGTTAATACGACTTATAAAGCGTTTTAAAACAACTAAAGAACAACCAGTCGTCGCACAATGCGAACAGCGTAACGAGTGGGCAGTCTAATGCTCCAACCCATCGCAAAAGCTTGTTCTTGTTTCCCTATTAACTGTGGCGCATACCCATTTCAGCCATAATTCCTCATCGCCGCCAGCCACTGCATGCTAAAATTGGCACGAAATTCCTTGCAAGTGTTTAGCGGATATCACGCTTCTCAGAAGAATGACGAAAAATAGCATTGCGAATGCCAGCCTATACTACCCAAAAGCTTATTATCAATGTCCTATTAGGTATCAAGCAAGCGTGCTTGCAGTAGTTACCCAATGAATGTTTTGTATAGAGGCTCTGAAATGCAGCTTTTCTAGCTTTCGCTGTGACTGTACTGCGCTTTCCGCGCAGGAATGGCATTTTTTTCTTTTTTTTTTCTTCGCCAAAGCATACAGAGCTAAAAAATGATCATTTCAAAGTAGCACCCGTCCCGAAAATTTTTTTTTTTGCCTACGCCCCTGACTAGAGCTATGGCGAACGAACTCTTTAACTGTTCGTTCTAAGCTCAGTATATAGCGAAGTTTATGTTCCGGAACATAAAAAAGACGTTACAAATAGCATTAGAGCGACGCAATGTGCTTATTGCCGGTACATAAATAAATGATGTTGTCCTCATTCTCCCTAAGTCATCACCCACGTGCACAATCGATATCCACATGAAATTCGATTCAGTGCGAAAGCAACATAATGATAAAAATAACTCGCAATAACACCTAAGTCTAATTTAGTCGACAAATATAATTGTCTATCTGAGGTGTAGAAAGATTTTAGGGGCGAAGCTTCTTAGGGTCGAGCAATGTCCCCTGTCCGTCGACCTGACACGCTTGGCACATACCCGCTCTAGAGTGGGTATGTGCCACAGGGGATGCGAGAGGGCGGTACATGGAGTGTTCACTATAGATCGACGCACACACGGACGGACGGCCAGACAGACTAGCAGACGTATGAATGGACGGACGCACGGATGGGCGCACGGGCGGACGGAAGCAAGAACGGACGAACAGGATGAAGGCCTCTTCGCCCCACTCATCATCATTCACTCTGTAGATATGCTGTCATTTTTATTTCTTATGTGAACGCGTGTATCTGTGTCCGTGTGTGTGGATGTCAGTGGCATAGGCGGGGAGAGGGGGGCGGCACGTCCTTGATCTAAAACGGGGGTGGGCGAGCCAGGTGTCAATTTTCGCTCTGTATCCCACGGCAGAATAAAAAAAATTCAAAGCGGAAAGGGGGGGGGGGGGGGGTACGTGAAAGTGGTGGACCTACTCCCGCGTCACCGATACGTGGGGGAAAGAGTCGCGTGTTAGTTATCTTAGCATGTGACGTGTTATGGCGGCCACTAAATTACGCGCATCAAGGTATAACCTCACATAAAAGCGACATGGCGCGACAACAAACTGCCTGCTTTTCGCGCCCTTGGTCTGTATACTCATGTATGTTACCAAAGGAAAAAAAATCACAGCATACCCACGGAGTGCATGATGATGAGTGGGGCGAAGCTTCGGTCCGCCCGTCCGGATGGACGAACAGAAGTACGGACGGATGGACGCTTCGCCCCCCTCATCACCATTCACTGCGTGGATATGCTGTAGAAATCACTAACGCCATCTAGTTATATTATTCCTGAAGACGTATACACACAACGTCATCTATTGAGCAACTAATAAACTACAGGTGGCTACATACCAATATGCGGATGAGGGAACGACCCACGGCGTATGGAGCTTCGCCCCAACTTGAAAACTTGGAACGTATCCCCGAAGGTATCCCTGATTGGACGCGAAGCAGTAGTGTTGCGCACGGGTTAAACGTTGCTAACGCGGGTGGTGTGGTGAGCGCTGGAAGATTCGTTTGAAGCGATGGCTGGCTTAGGTCTTGTAGGTGACACGTACAGACATGTTTCAACGCGCATACGTTATGCGCACGTCAGGTTTATTGCGTGTGAACCGACCAATCGGCGGTGTAGCGAGCGGTGGTCGCTGCAGGGGTTTTACGGGCGAATGGACGAGGCGGCAGCTGCGGGTGCCGTGGCGAGTGCGTGGCAGGCGAGCAATAGAGTGACGTCAGCTGGCACTGCGAGGGGAGCGTGACGTCAACGCGCAGCAGCGGTGTGACCTACTTGGCACCGCGCCAACACCTGAGGCTCTTTGTACGGAGGGAAAGCGTTACACAAGGCAGTCAAAGAGCTGCTTCGCATTAAAATAGTGCTCAATGTGCATGCCAATGGCTGCTAATGGAGAATGATAGACCGGAGAATTCGGCTTTTAGTTAACGTGCACGCTGCGAATTTTTTTATTGTCCAACAACGCACAGGAGAAATCTCCCACCGGCACCACCTTGCAGGTCAAAACGTAAGACATGTTACACACTACTACGAGGGACGAACGGGTGCCGCTTTAATCTTCATTTCCGCAGAACATCGTCGATCTCAACGACCATGCACGCCATGTCGAAGAGTTGTTCAGTTCCCTTGGTTTGATAAACTCAGTGGCTAGAATTTGCTTCAGTTTTGTGTAACATCTAATCATCTGGCTTTACGCGTCTAATGTATGAATGTGAAAAACGAGTATTAAAATCTTTATAGAACACATTTAAATGTATACGGCAGGCGCATAGTCAGAATTTTTTTTTGGA